ATAATTTGTCCCTTGTAATAGCAAAAGTATGCTTCACAAAGACAAGATAATGGGCGGAAGACCCAGAATAACTCATTTAGATTCTGTATCTGAAGTCTCTTTAGTCATCACTCGTTCAAGCAGTGAGATAATGGTACCCAACTAAACGCGGAAAGTTTACTTGTTTTTGAGCATAAAATGTCGAGAAAACAAGCTTTTGGAATTATTAAAGTTGGAAGACCTAAAGAAAAGAATTCTTTAATAGGGGCTTGCTTTAAATCTTTCATTTATAATATTGCTTTTGAGATAATGGGGACCAAAGAACAAACTAGTACTTTTTTACTTTTAATCGCTAATAAATGCAATAGAAGAGCGTAAATCTTGCTATTTTTGGCTACAGCATGATAGTGATATAACAGCTGATTTCTTTGAAGTATCATATGGCACTGCAATCACTACTATGCGAGTGCTATAGGTGAAAATCAGTGCTGCAGAGATGGAGAGAGCAAGTCTGGCCAGGGGTAACTAGCTTAAGTTGCTAGGCAACCTAATAATCTCAATGGAATAATCCACCCACGCAACGGAAGTTTCCTATCCCTTTCACTCTAATATCTATGTACACACTCAGTTTCAAAAGGTTTCTTGTCCTACTGATCCACGTACTGACGTACATAACCAGACATCATACTTTTTTGCATAGGCAAACAGTGGTCCTAAAGGACCATGCATTCTGTCGCTGTTATGCACATTAAACTTTACTATGGTCTTTTTTTGTAATCATAATTCAATGAACATTATTATGCAGGGTTCTATCCAGTGGGGGTGGGGGTGGGGGGAAGCTTCTCCCCCAAAGTCTTCATCTTCCCCCCCAAAACTTCAAGCTTCCCCCCTGTGTACTTCTGTAACTACATGCATGTACTGTACATGTACCTATGTATGTGCACAACCTTCCCCCCTCCCGGTCAACTGCTCTGGGCTTCCTCCCCAAACAAAAATTTCTAGATGGAACCCTGTTATGGCACTAAAATGAAATTAAAATTCAAAAACGGCTTAATTATAAATTAATCGTTATAATAATTGAGAAGATTGTGGCTACACTAAAGGGAAAAACTAACAGCTATAAAGTTCTAGTTAACAAGCAAGTCTATTAATTATTAATAATGAGAGCTGACTAAAAATTTCATCATAGCAAAGTTTTCCTAATTCAATCATCTTTGTCATCATCTTTTGGAATAGAAAGAGAGAAAAAAGAAGAGTAACATTAACATGGTAACACAGGACATCATTACTTTAGCCTTCCTTGTAGCCCCTCCCCCACTACGCAGTTTAAATATATGAGCCTTCAGAAAGCTGCTCTCCTCCTCGGCCTCTTCCAGCTGTGACTTGGCCTGTCAGAGCTTCTTCTGGATACTCTTCACCTCACTCTCTGCATCTTCCTTGTCACGGCGAAGGTTCCTGTCCTTGGCATTGAGAGAATTGACTTGATCTTGGAGACGCTGGGATACAGCTTCCTTATAGCAACGATCACTCTTGGAATAAAGAGAATAAAGTAAGGCGAAGTCAAAAACAGTCAAAATTTAATTTTGTTACCTCTTAAAATTCCTCTGGGCGTCACTCCTGCTTTTGGTTTCAGTCTCCAACTCCATTTCCAAGTCAGTAACCTGAAGCAACAACAACAACAATAATAATAATGATAATAATAATGACAACAATAACA